TATGAGTTCTTCAGCTTTGTTCTTTTTCAAGATTGTTTGGCTATTCTGGATACCTTGGATTTCTACATGAATTTCAGCATCGCCTTGCCACTATATGCAAAAGTCAGCTAAGAATTGTTAAGGGTTTGTTTGAGCCTATCAGTCAATTTGGGGAGTGCCCCTTAGATTTTGTATTCTTGGTACTAAACTTAAGGTCTGCCTATTTTTTCCTTTACAAAAGTAATTACCTTGACTTTTTTTTTTTAATATATCTTTATTGATTTCAGAGAGAGGAAGGGAGAGGGAGAAAGAGAGAAACATCAATGATGAGAGAGTCATTGATCGGCTGCCTCCTGCACGCCCCCACCGGGGATCGAGCCCTCAACCTGGGCATGTGCCCTGACCGGGAATCGAACCACGATCTCCTGGATCCTAGGTCAATGCTCAACCGCTGAGCCACGCCCGGCCAGACTATCTTGACTTTTAATTTCCTATAACTAGGTTCTATATGTATACGTTAAGAGGTAATTCTTACACTGTATTAGTCTTAAACTAAACATGAATAAATGTGTAATAATTACTTTTTGTATTGTTAAAACATAATATTGTATAGGCTAACTACTTCCCCAACAAAAATCTCTGTATACAGAGAAATTATAAAAAGGAATGCCAGGAGAGCTCTTTTAGAGCTGTCTAAAAAAAATAGCAAAATTCTGTATCGCAGAAGAATTTCCATAAGCCCTTAGAAATTTTGATTTATTCTTTTTCTGATGAAATTTATTTTGTATTTATAAGTATTAGCAAAAGTTCATGTATGAGGAAAAAATAAATATGAATAATACCTCTATGGAATGTGGATGAGGATTACAAAAATAAACATTTTAGATTTTTATAATGTTTTAGATTCCATTGGTCCCTAGAATAAGACATAGGCAGCCATTTGATAGCTTATGTGGTCTTGTTTAGTAAGTAAATGCCATAATCCAATGGTTCTTGACCTTGGCTGCTGTGCATTAGAACCCCTAGAGAGTTTTTGAAAATCCAGATGTCCCTTACAGCACACCAGGCCTATTAAGTCAAAATCTGGGACTTGGATATCAGAATTTTTAAAGTTCCCTGCGTGAATCTAATGTGCAGCCAGCATTAGAACCACTGCCATAGATATCCAAGAAGTCAGATGAGATCGGGCTCAGGAAAATGTAATTATCCTGAAATGTCAGTTAAACGTATGCCATCTGAATTGTATGCCACTTTACTTATAATACCAACCACTGTGAAAAGTAATAGGGAATTATGGGGATGTAATGATTTGAATTTTCCTTTGTCTGTGAACCAATAATAAAAGATTATTTAATAGTCACCAGAACTCCAAAATTTGGTACTAAGAAGATAATTATGCATACCACCATACAGGTAGGCATCTGTTTGAGGGGAAAAGTCCACTGCTAAAGAGTTAAATTTGAAAGCCACCAGTGTATTGGAAGAAGCACTGGGTAGAGAGTTGGGAATCTGTGTTCTAGTGTTAACTCTGCTGTTTGACTTTGAACCAGGGTATTTAAATTATACTTTGTAAAAGTAGGTAGTTGAGCTGGAGGTGATCACCAAATTATTTATTCAACAAATTGAATTGCCTCCTGTGTGCCAGGGAAGGATGCGGGATAAACAGAACATTTAAAAGCTCACAGTGGACAAACATGCATAATGTGTAAGTGTAGCTATAGTGAAATGTTCAGGGAATTAAGGGAGCACAGAACTTACTTCATCTGGTTCAGTATTGAGACAAGTGCATTCATTCACAAATCCCTTCTTCCCTCTAGCAGACCCATCTCTGAAATACACTGAAAATGCCAGATGCTTACTTTCCTAGCCATCCTTACAGCTGAGGTATGGTCATGTGACCCAGAGCTGGTAAGATCAGAGAAGAAACCTACTGGACAGGTTTCCTTCTAAAAGTTGACAATCGAGAAAGTGTCTTTCTTTCCTTTCTGTTCTGACCTTGTTGCATGAAGACATGATACTTAGTGTTACAAAGGTCATCTTGAGACTGATGGGCTAAGAATAAAGGCCTCCATGCTGGTTTATAGCCAAAGAGAAAAATGAAAAGAGCCTGGATCTTTGATGTCAGGGTTGAGCTGTTGAACATCCACATACCTGTGGACTTTTAAGTGAGATAAAAATACTTACAGTTTGAACCCTTGCTCCTGTAATAGTGATCTGTGGGTCCACAGTATCAGCATCACCTGGGAGGTTGATTAGAAATGCAGAATCTCAGAGCTCACATCAGACCTCCTGTCAGAATCTACTTTAATAAGATCATCAAGTGAGTAAGATGCACATTAAAGCTTGAGAATTGCCAGTTTAAACCACTTTTAATTGGGTATTCTGTTACATGCAGTTAAAAACATCCTTATACATTGTGGATTGGTCATGTGCCGTTTTTTAGATAAGAAAATACTTGCCCAGAAAGACTTCTGATTCAGATGTAGAAAGTTGCAAGAGACTTACTGTCACTATAACAACCAAAACAAGCAGTTTACTCTAAGTAAACATAGTTTTTTGTTGTTTGTTTGTTTTGTTACTCCTCACCCAAGGATATTTTTCCATTGATTTTTAGAGAGAGTGGGGGGCGGGAGAGAGAAACGTCGATGCGAGAGAAACACAGTAATTGGTTGCCTCCTGCACGCGCGCTGACTGGGGCCGGGGATCGAACCTGCACCCTTTGGTAGATGGGCTGACACTCTGACCACTGAGCCACACTGGCCAGGGCCATCACTTCTAAATAAATAATAAATAAATAAATAAATAAATAAATACCTATCAGAGAATTTGAGGACTCCAGAAAGTGACAAGCCCTTCATAAGAGAGGTGATTCATTCTTACTCTCTCCTGACTGAAAATGAGGAAACCACTGTAGAGAGGAGTAAGGAGCAATCAGCCTAACTTCTGACAAATGTTTAGTGACCATGTAAGGGCTGGCAGGATAGATTAGAATCCAGAGAAACCCTAGACCAGCACTGTCCACTAGCACTTTGTGCAGTGATAGAAATGGTCCGTATCGGTGCTAACCAAATGTGGCTGTCAAGCACTTGAAATGTAGTTATTGTGGCTGAGGAACTGAATTTTTAGTTTGAAATAATTTAAGTAGTCACATGTTGCTAGTGGCTACCACATTGGACAGTGCAGCCCTAGAGACAGAGTGAGACTCACTACCACCCATTCTTTGCTACTCATCTTTATTTAGTGCTAGGGTACCACTCTAACAACAGAGCAGTGAAGCAGAGCTGAGAGAACATTCCTGAGGCATAGGTTTTTGGCTGGGGGATGCCAAGGGAGAGCCAGGAAAGTGGAGAGAAATCCCTTCCAGGCCCTCCCCAACTTCACAAACTATAGAGCAGACAAGACAAGGGTGAGGCTGAAAGATCTGCCAAAGCCCAGAAATCATGGAGTGGGACTGGAAAACAAAGAGAGCGCCCCATCCCCCAGAAAGCTGGCAGCCTGGGCTACACATTGGGAGAAATCTCACACTCCACAGCTCAAGGTAGGCCACTTGGGAGATCTCCAGAACCTCACCAGGGTTCTAATCCCAGGCCTTGCTGAGGAGAAAGTCCTGATCCTGTCCTCAAAATGTTTGAAGCCATTGAGGAACTAAGTCAAACTAATGTTGCAGCAAAGCCCACATTCATCTCAACTGCAGAGTATGTTGAGGGGCATGCTCCTTTCAGTCTCTGCTATACTTTTATACAAAACACCCAGCACACAGTCAAAGACCTTAAGACAGGTGATGCGTAGTCAGGAAAGTAAGCAGTCAGTAGAAAACCCAGAGATGACCCAGATTTTGGTGTTATCAGTCAGGGACTTTAAAATAACTGATGGAAATGCCAAAGAATCTAATGGACAAGGTGCACTACAGGTGTGAAGAGAGGAGGAATTTTGGCAGAGAAACACAAAAAATTTTTTTTAAAAGATCCAAATGGAAATGCTAAAAATAAAAAATATAACATCAGAAATTAAGATCCTTTAGATGAGCTTAGCAGAAAATACCTGACCAACCTTGGCCAGACTCCTGGGAATAGTTTGTATTGTGGAAGGATTCCTTTTTTTATACTAATTGATACTTACCTGAAGAAGTACACAACTCACTGCACTAATTATAAGCCTACAGACATTCCTTTTGATAGAGCATTGCATATAGTCATCAGGCCAGATAGTCTCATGTTTCCCTGGCAGTTTCCTAATAGAAAACAAAATAATTGGCACTTCGTGAAGCCATACATAGGTCTTCCCAGATAGTTTAGTTATCATTTTCACCTGTCTTGAGAGAGAAACTATAGGCAATCTTGCCAATCTAGTCCCTGCCATGTGTGAGTACTACATCTTGTTTGGTCAGCTTGTGCTGCAGCTGTATCATCATTTACTATTCCCTTCATAGTTTTAATCTTGTATTGAACATATGGTAATAAAATACCGATTTTTGCATAATAAATACTCTAGGTTTCTAGAATAACTAGTTTCTTGATAGGTAACCTTGTTAGTGTCTGTTGCACCTTAGAGGCACAGCGATCAAAAGTTTCAGACTCCACTCAGGACATGTAGGAATTTCTTTGCAATTAAAACTTGAATTTCTGAAATAATTGCTTTTACCATCCCCGGAGGGACTGTAACAGTTTGTTGCTTAAGAATAAGAAAGTGAAATTTCTTTTAATCTTAGATTAATCTAAAGATTTTTGTGTTTATTTCTTTATTCTTTTATTTTTTGATTCAGTAATTGTAGAGTAACTCATAATTATTCCAAAAAGAGTTTATATTTTCACAGATGGGAAAATTTCTCTTTTTTTAATTTTAGTTTTTCTGGTTACTGGAAACTTACAAATACATATTGAAGATGAAATGAAATTATTGTTTGTCAATCTTGACTTTTTATTTTAGCTTAAATTGCACATACTTTTAATGATTTTTTTGTTAGAATAAAATCATAATGAGTTAATAGCAGTAGTAAATTAACAAACCTCTTTATTTTACAGGGAAAATATTTATCCCTAAACAGAAACCTATGCAGTCTTTTACAGAAGAAAAAATCTCTCTTGATCCGGAATTAGAAGAAGCTTTGACAAGTGCTTCTGATACAGAATTGTGTGACCTTGCAGGTATCTCCTAAAGCACATTAATTTGTGAATGAGTGTGGAAGGGAGGGGGATATCAGCACACACCTATTCATTATGCAGATGTTTCCTTTGCCTAGCAGAGTGCTGTTGAATCAGTGACCACATATTTGGCTTTGTTTCTTATACTCTAAATTTGACACAAAGAACTTCATTTTTTAAAATTCTCTCAGTGGTGAAATTCTATGTTAATGAAATTTATTGTATTATTTGACATCTTTTCCCACACTTTGAAAGTCTTTATAAAAATGTTTCATTGGCTGATGCTCAGCTAGAAACTGTCCCGTCTGAGCACTGAGAAAGTGTCACCAGGGTCAACTGCTGTCCCATTTTATCGGAAAGACCCCAAGGTGGATTACTGGAAAGCAGATGAGACAGTTAGCCCTGAGCTATCCTCACCACTTTCCCAGCTTCTCTGAAGTATGTATGGAACACTCCAAACCTCCCTGTTATTTTCATTATTGCTGGTTTCTTATAAGGACCAGTGTCTCCCCCACCTACTTTCACACACACCCATTTTCCTAGATAGAAAAATATGATACATGGGGAGATCTTATTCCCAAGTAACCCCAAGAACTAACATGTTTGAAAAGATCAGTGACGATCCTTTAGGAAGGACCTAGGAAAACAGTCAAGATGTTTGCCACAACCAGAGCAGGTGTCCTGTTTCTGGGGGCGGTGACGATTGATGGATTTGTAAATTCATCAGAGTGGAATGGGCCAGGAACACACTGTAGCTTCTGCCCAGTTTATGCAAAAGACCATCAAAAACAAAAATCAAATTTATTTCTCCTGTTATTTTTGTGGGGGTGCTACTTTAATCTTAAATATAATTCAGTTATACTTTTAGTATTCTGCTCTTAGCTAAAATATGAATGTAATTAATATGAGAGAGAACAAATGTAAAAATAGTGAAGCTTAAGTTGAAAATCTGCCTTCTATTGCATTATGTTGCTGGCAACCTTATTTGACGAATGAACAGCAAAGTAGATTATGTCAGTTTTTTTCTTTGCCACCAGATGGAGCTAAGCGTAGATTTGCATTTAGGATTAGGCTGGCTCCTGCTATGTGTCTGACTTCAGAACTGCGGAGAGAATAATAAGGACATTGATGAGGAGATTGTAGGTGATTTTTAATCACGTTGTCTCCCCTTTTTTGGCTGCAAAATCTATATTTAATTGAGTAGGAAAATGTCCAGAGAATGCTAATACCATTGATAAGAGATTTTTGGTTGCAAAATTCTTTATGTTCAAAACTGATGGAAATAAAAATAACTTTCCTTTTCTCTCTCTGTAGCTATTCTTGGGATGCACAATTTGATAACGAATACACAGTTCTGTAATATAGTGGGAAGTAGTAATGGTGTCGACCAAGAACAGTTTTCAAGTAAGTGTCAAAAAAACCTATTTTTGTTTCTCCATGTATCAACTTCAGTGTATACATATCAAATGTTATGTATATGTACTGGAAACCTAAGATTCCGGTTAGATGGTATGGATATAGAAACCATTGAAAATGGAATATTAAGTATTTTATGCTTAATGTGTCAGCAAATGTAATAGGAACCACTAATGCTACTCAAACTTGGCTTTTGTTGACATTCTTTTTTCAGTGTTACTGATTTTTAAGAAGTCTACAACAGTGCTGACAAACTATTAAATCAGATTCAGGAGAAACCACAGAACTATTCGACCCCTAAACCTTTTAGTCTGATACAAAGTATTAAATAGACAAAGCAAAGCTTTTTTAAAAATCCATGTATAGGAGCCCTGGCTGGGTTGCTCAGTTGGTTGGAGCATTGTCACATACACCAAAAGGTCATGGGTTTGATTCCCAGTCAGGGCACATACCTAGGTTGTGGGTTCAATCCCTAGTTGAGGCGCATGCAGGAAGCAACGAATCAGTGTTTTTTCTCTCTTTCTCTTTCTGTCTCTCCTCCCTTCCCCTCTCTTCCTCTCTTTAAAAAAATCAATTAAAATAAATAAATAAACAGTACCTAAGTGTATAAAGGTAAGAAGTAAAAGTGTCTATTCATAGCCGTCATGCCTTCTACTCCCCACACCCCTAACTCTGTTAACAATTTGGTATATATTCTTCTAGACATTGTACTGTGTTTATATAAACTTATATATATGTATGCATAGTCTTTTGTTTGTTTACAAAAATGGGATCATACTATAGATATTTCTTATAACTTAATTTTTCTTTTTTATTGAATTTATTAGGGTGACATTGGTTAATAAAATAAAACTTTCAAAAATAATACAATTGGCTGATTTTCTGAATGCTAACTGTGTACCATGTTCTGTGCACAGCTCTTTAGTATGAATTGTTCTAATTTAATTCTTACAACAGTTCTATGAAATAGGTATTATATATTATCCTTTATTTGCATGTAAGGGAGCTGAGATTTTAGAATGATTAGCTAACTAACTTGAATGTCACACAAAGTCAGTGGTGAGGATTTTAACCCACGCTATATAGTATATAAATCATTTTGCAACATATCATGTTTCCTGGTTAGTACATACAGAGCTACCACATTCAAACATCTGTATAACACTCCATTTTGTGAATATTCTCTGATTTGGCCATTCCCCCTCTTTTAACTTTTTGTTGTAGAAATGTTTAAGCATGCATAATAGAAGAGAGAATAATATCACCCAACTTCAGCTGTTTTTAGTATCTTCTATGTTTCTGTTAACTGTTATTTATTTTCTAGAAGCTTAACCAGATTCGGGTGCAGTTTTTTTGGTTTTTGGAAGGAATGCTTCCTAGGTGGTGATTGAATCACCTTAGGAAGCATATCAAGTCTGGTCATACCTCTTTGGGGAATGTGTTAAGAGTGATCAGTGGGTTCAAATTTTGGCAGCCTGATCCCTCCATTTAAAGTTCCAGTGAACCTTTCATAATGGTTTCAGCAACCCATTGACTGGATCCATTATTTCATTAGGGAGCAATGCTCTTTAAATCCGCACATTCTGTGGAGTGGGGAAAGAAATCATTTAGTTTTTAGAAAATTTAGAATTGAGGAAGAACTTGTTCAGCTTTGCCCTCAGTGAGGGAGGCTCTTCTCCAGCCCCCTTGATCTATGGTCTTGAAGAAGACTGCCCTGCTTACCCTACATGAGAGGGAGCCCACTCTTTCCTTTTCACAGAGCTCTGTTAGGAAATTCCTCTTTGTATTGAACCAGATCCCATTTCCTGGCAATCTACACCTGTTCTAACCCAGCCTTTTAGAACAACCTGAAATTTTTCTTCTCTATAAGATAAATCAGAAGACAGTGAGCATGCCTTCTTTTAATATATATTAACTTTCAGGGTAAATAGATTGAGATCTTTCAACTGTTCTCAGGAAAATAATGTTCAGACCTTTGTCTAAGTTGATCTCAGGCTGGGGGGGCGTGTGTGTGTGTGTGTGTGTGTGTGTGTGTGTGTGTGTGTGTGTGTGTGTGTGTTTGAAAAGAACAGCTACTCTCAGAGAATTTACTGGGTGAGTAAGCAATACACCTTGTCTTAAGATAAATTTTGCCTCCTAAAAGCTAGAGAAGGGCAGATGGGAAGAACTAAGCCAGACAGTGACCCTGTCAGTCTTTCCATTTCGGTGGTTTTTAACATTTTGTTGTCTTTTGACTCTTTGAGAATCTAATGCTATAGGTGTTCTTCCCAAAAAATTTATCCATAAAAGTTTGTCTGTTATAGGTATCCATAGACCTCCATACGCACGTCAGAGCAGACATATCTCATTAGAGGGTTTAAGGCTTCTAGATCCTCTTTCACTTTGCATAGTTGTATCCTGGCCGTGTGTGGGGGTATAGTCCATACCGTGAAGGACTGGGGTAGGCGTGAAGGAAGGAAGTAGTTCTTGGAGTTTCTGCATCAGCAGCTCCTCCGTGTGCTATTACCTCTCTCTGTCATGGGGAGCCATTCCCTGTTCCTACTCTTCTTCTTGACAGAGAGCCCGCCCCCTTTCCCATTGTGTAGTACTCCCCATGGGAAGACGGCCTGTGTACTTCCATCACCTTGTTCTTCTCTTCGAGGCTGTATTTCTTCAAGCCTGTGATTCTTCTGCCTTTTCAGGAATTACTAGCAGATCTCAGAGAAATCATACGAGATGTTAGATTTGATAATATTTGAACTTTATCTTAAACATTGCTAAAAGTAAATGGGATCATTGGCCTGTGTTACCAAATGTATTTTAGTAGTAAAGATATCTTGTAACAATAAAGATTTTAAAAAAAGATATCTTGTAAGCCCTGGCTGGTGTGGCCCAGTAGTTAGAATGTCGGCCCATGCACCAAAGGGTCTCGGGTCTAGGGCACGTACCTGGGTTGCAGGTTTAATCCCAGCCCCGGTTGGGGCATGTACACAAGGCAACCAATTGATGTGTCTCTCTCACATTGATGTTTCTCTCTCTCCCCCTCCTTCCCTCCCTTTCACTCTCTCAAAATCAGTGGAAAAAATGTCCTTGGGTAAGGATTAACAACAAAAAGATACCTTGTAATATACCAACAGGCAGTGGAAAAACTCATTTTTGAAGGCTGATATATTGCAAATAAAATGTTGAATTATTTTTAGTATATATTTAGTATATATTTAATAAAATTTTATTTGAGCACTTTGTGTCAACACACAAAGGATGTTTTAGTAATTGTGAGGAAGAAACTTTAAAATTAGTCCTACTGAGTGAGTGAGTGTGTGTGTGTGTGTGATGTGTTACCAAGTTAGTATATGCATCCACTGTAATAGTATCAACCACTGAGACTCTTGCTCTTCTCATTTGTTACTACAGATGTGGTAAAAGGTGAAAAGATCATCCCAGTATTTGATGAGCCACCAAATCCAACCAACGTTGAAGAGAGTTTAAAGAGAATTAAAGAAAATGATGTTCGTCTTGTTGAAGTTAATTTGAATAATATAAAGGTAGGTGTGCTAAGCAAACAAAGTTTTGAGTTGCTGAGTCAGATGGATCTACGATGAGGGCTGGGCAGTTTTGATATAGTACAATTCTACTTAAAGGTAAAGTATTTGCTCTTAACACTGTGGTAACACAGATTCCTCTGTATTTTAAAAATTAAAGTCATATAGTATTTTTCTGACTTGTTTATAAAGATTATGGTATAAAAATGTAAATCCTATTAGACTGTCAGTGTAATTCTCTTTGGCTTTTAAAATGCTGCCTACTTGTAAGAGCGTTTAGTCTTCTGGGTTTTGTTTTTTAAATCAGGTTTCTTGAGGTATAATTTATATAAAGTCAAATTCTCTCTTTTTAATATAGAGTTCTGTGAGTTTTGACAAATGCATATAGTTGTACAACCACTAGCACATTTAGATGTCAAACATGTCACACCCCTTTGTGGTCATTCTCTGCCTCCAGCTCTATCCCCTGACAATCACTGATCTGTTTTCTTTCCCTATCATTTTGCCTTTTCCAGAATGTCATATAAATGGAATCACAGTATGTAGCCTTTTGAGTCTAGCATCGTTCAGTTAGCGTAATGCATTTGAGATTCATCCATCTTGGTACTTACATCAGTAGTTTGTTCTGTTTGGATAGAGTACAATTTGTTTATCCATTTATCAGTTGATAGACATATGGGTTGCTTCCAGTTTGGGATGATTATAAATAAAGCCACTGTATACATTCATATGCAGTCATAGGTTTTCTGTGAACATGTTTTCATTTCTCTTGAGTATTAAATCTTGATTTATCTTAATTGGGGGTGGAGGGAACATCTGGAAATTATAAGAACCTACGGAATAAGACCTCTGTGCTTCTTTAGTGGGTGTTCCTTCCTGTGAGTGTAGGAAAGAAAGCCTTGGAAAAAGCTAATATCCCTAGTTGATCATTAATTTTACTCATTCTTTAAAAATGTCTTCATATTTCTGTAAATCAACAGTAATGATCTGAAAATAACCAGGCTCGGGGAATTAAAGTCTTGGGACTAAAGGGGGAAATAAATGCCTTCAAGAACTATATCTTCCCACGTTTCAAGTGGCATGGGGTTAATCTCTCTTAATACCTTGCAGTTTAAGGGACTAAGAACAGTATGTCATTTGCCTCAGGAATCACACTCATTAGAGATGGGCTCCCATGTTTTTCTCTTTGCAGAAAATGTATCCACTTTGAATACTTAGGTGTTGCCTTGTAATATAAATAATTACATATAGAGTAGCTTTAACCTGAATGGTAGAGAAATGGTGATAAATACTCTGCTCTAGGTCAGCAGTTTGCAGATGTACCATGATAGAGAAGTCAAATAGATATGGAGGAAGCAGAGTTACTTGTTTTCATTTGTAGGCTGTTGTGTGTTTATATAATTCCTGAGAACATTTTAATGAGAAAAGGTAAATACAAATATTTACTTGATTAATGGACTGAATGCCCTGAAAACTGAAATGTAATGTTTCACATTATTGTCTTTGAAGAATATTCCAATTCCAACACTGAAAGACTTTGCGAAGGCTTTGGAAACCAACACACATGTGAAATGTTTAAGTCTTGCAGCCACACGGAGCAATGACCCAGTTGCTATTGTAAGTAAGCTACCTTTTTTTTTAATTTTTCAATTTCAGTTGACATTCAATATTATATTAGTTTCAGGTGTACAGCATAGTGGTTAGACACTTATATAACTTACAAAGTGATCCCCCCAATAAGTCTAGGGGGGTATTTTATATAAACACTGTACACTGTGAGAAAGGAATGGCACCATACATAGGTATTACAATATTGACTATATTTTCTATTCTGTACTTTACACCCCCATGACTGTTTTGTAACTACCAATCCGTACTTCTTAATCCCTTCATTTTTTTCTACCTGCACTCCCAGCCCCCTCTCCTGGCAACTGTCAGTCTGTTCTCTCTGTAAGTTAACTATTGGTAATACCGAAATTGTAACTACATACCAGGATGTTACAAAGATGGCTAAACTGATTTTTATGAAAACAATTTACTCTTTTTTCAATTGACGTTTAGCTCTCTGTTCGGTAGTACATGATTTACTGCTCTTTTATGTTTATTTTTTCCTATATTTCCTTCCTATAATTTTTAAAACATAAATGGTGTCATACAACATATGCTGTTCTGCAGTTTATTTTTTACTCAACAGTATGTCGTAAAGATCTTTTCATATCAGTACATAAAGTTCCATACCAGTTTTTTACCATCTGCAGAAGATTCTATTTATGGATCTATATTGTTGGGTTTGTCAAATGCTTTTTCTGTGTCTATCGAGATGATTGTGTGGTTTTTGTTCTTTATTCCGTTAGTGTGGTATACTATCTTGATTAATGTTTGTATATTAAATCAACCTTGCATTCCTAGGTAAATCCCTCTTAATTTTTGTTGTTGTTAACCCTCACCCAAGGATACTTTTTCCATTGATCTTTAGAGAGATGGAAGGGAGAGAGGGACAGGGAGGGGCGCATCAATGTAAGAGAGACACATCAATTGGTTGCCTCCCTCACATGCCCCGACTGGGGCCAGGGATCAAACCTGCAAGCCAGGTACTTGCCCCTGACCGGGAATCAAACCCAAAACCCTTCTGTGCAGTGGCTGATGCTCTAACCACTGACCCACACCGGCCAGGGTGGTAAATCCCTCTTGATCATGGTGTGAACCTTTTTCTTCACTTGGCTTTAAGGACATCACTCCCTTTGAATGTCCTCCCGCCTCACCTGGACATCCCTTCTCTTTTTCCTATGCTGGTTCCTCCTTTTTCTCCCAGCCTCTAAGCATTGGAACAGCCCAGGGCTAGGTCATAGGCCCTCTTCTCTATCTACATGCATTTTCTCATCTCATTCTATTTCATTGCTATATATTGTCTGTATATGCTCATGAATACCAATGTCATCATCTTCAGTTTGTACCTCTTTCCTGACCTCCATATTCTTGTCCAGCTACCTACTTAACAGCTTTATTTGGGTGTCTAATAGACATCTCAAATTTAAGTCCCAAACCAAACTCCTAACTTCCATCCCATCCCTGCTTCTCTCACACTCTTTCCTTTCTCACCAAAAGGCAACTTCATTCTTTCATTTGCTCAAGCCAAAAAGAAATGGCGTCACCCTTGATTTTCCTTTCTCACAGCCTTAATGTATATCCAGCCCAGTATTCAAAATATTTCCAAATTCCAACCATCTCTCACCATTTTCACAACTACTGTCCTTGTATAAGCCACTACCTCCCAATTGAGCTTCCTGCTTCCATCTTACCCACCCCAAAGCCAGCTCTATCTACACAGCATCAAAAGTGATTCTTTTAGCCCTGGCCAGTTTTGCTCAGTGGTTAGAGCATTGGCCCTTGGACTGAAGGGTTGTGGGTTCGCTTACTGGTAGAGGGCACGTACCTGGGTTGCAGGCTCCAGCCCCAGCCCCAGCCCGGGCTCCTGTGGGAGGCAACCAATCAATGTGTCTCTCTCACATCGATGTTTCTCTTTTCTCTCCCTCTCTTCCTTCCCTTCCACTCTTTCTGAAAAATCAGTGGAAAAATGTCCATAAAAAACACACACCCAGAAGTGATTCTTTTAAAACTTAATTATCTCATTCCTATACTCAGAACCTTCCAGAAGCTCCCTATCTCAATTGAGTATAAATCAAAATCTTTTAATGGCCTTATTAGGCCTTACATGAGCAGACCTCATCTCCTTTACTTGCCTTTCCATTCCACTATAGCCATATAGCCTCTTGCTCTTCCTCAAATATGCCACTTGTGCTCCCAACTCAAGGCCTTTGCACTTGTTCCTCTTGCCTAGAACTTTCTCCCTAAAGATATTCCATAGCTTCATTTCATCACTTTGAGTCTTTGCTCAAACGTCACCTTTTAGGGGGAGGCCTTTCCCGACCACCCTATATAAACTAGCAACCCCACCCCTACCCCTCACACTCCCCGTCTCCCCTACTTTCCCTCTTTTTCTTCCTGTGCCCCTTTTTGCCATCTGATATTACATTTTGCCTATTTATTATCTGGTCCCCCACTAGAATGCAAGTTCCATCAGGCATGTTTTATTTCTGAATCTACAGAGTAGTACTTATCAAATAATAAGCCACCAGTAATAATTGAATAAATGTATGTACAAAGGATGAATAAGGGATTTGTTCCAGGTCACATAGCTAGTTGTTGCTAGTAGAAAGGACAAGTGTGTAGATAATTTGTTTTTTCTAGTGTCCCTTTACCCTACCCCCTGCCACCCCCTATTGCCTTTTCTTTAAGTTGACTTTAAGCTGGTCTTCCACATGTTTTCTGGAGTTTGACTTTGTGTTTGACACCTCTAAAGGGCTATTTTATATAAACTCACTCATATTCTAACTTTTTCCTTTCTTCTTACAGGTTTCTGTTAGTGAATTAATTAATATGATGTTTATTAAGCACTGGGTCGAATACCCAGCACTACCATAGACTGTGAGAAAGAAATGGAGGCAGACTGAACACAGAGCATTCCTTGAGGAACTGAATATATAGCTAGCCCCTTCTTCTCTGTAGTCTGTGCCCTTGCAGTTCTAGTTGTCTGTGATCCTTCTTGGCCTTCTGCCTTAGGCGTTCCTTTTGGTCTCTGCCTTGGAAATTAGTTCATAATTTACCCTCATTTTGACTTTGCAGTAATCCAACTGCATCAGGACCCAAATAAGAAAAGATGTTCTAGCCCTAGCTGGTTTGGCTCAGTGGTTAGAGTGTCAGCCCTTGGACTGAAGGGTCTCAGGTTTGATTCCAGTCAAGGCACGTCCTTGGATTGCAGGTTCTGGCCCTGGCCCTCAGGGTGGGCGCTGGAGGCAACCAGTCGGTGTGTCTCTCTCACATAGATGTTTCTCTTTCTATCTCTTTCTCCCCGCTTCCCTCCCTTCTACTCTCTCTGAAAATCAATAGAAAAAATATCCTCCAGTGAGGATTAACAAAAAAAAACGAAAGGAAAGATGTTCCAAAGAGACATTGATGAAGTTAGTCCTACAAAGAAACTGACAGATGTGATGAGGGACATGAGAAAGAGACACAGCAACGGTGTGAATGAACATAATGTAAACGGCAGTGGAAATGTTCCCAATAGAGAATTACATGTGACAAAAAATCTAAAGATTGTGATAGGGTACATGTGCGAGGTGGATTACATGTGAGACCTATGAGGGAGGTGTCAAGCTAAAACAATCTAATGAGAAACATTAAGGCAGTTTTGTTGATTAGTATATTTGTTTATAGCATGTACAGTATGAAATAGGTGCTGTCAAATTTTAATTTCCAAATATTTTCTTTAACTTCTAGGCTTTTGCAGATATGCTGAGAGTGAACAAAAATTTGAAGAGCTTAAACATGGAATCCAACTTTATTACAGGAGCCGGAGTTCTAGCACTGATTGATGCTTTAAAAGATAATGAGACCCTGACTGAGCTCAAGATTGACAATCAGGTCAGTGTTCTGCAGCAGGAACTTTGAGGAAGCTACAGTCCACACTACTGTGTAGGTCTTGGAGCTGAGGAGGCGTGTGGGAGGAGCGCTTTCAGAGAGCCATTTGGGAAGGTGATGGCATGGAGGGGGATGAGAGGACATTTTATTCATAGAGTTGTACAAACATCACCACTGTCTAATTTCAGAACATTTTTATCATCTCAAAAAGAAACTCCATACCCTCCAGCAGTCACTCCCTGTTCACCCCTCCCAGCAGCCCCTGGCAAACACTAATCTACTTTCTGCTCCTGTGCATTTGTGTATTTTGGACAGTTCATATCAATGGAATTGTAGACTGTGGTCTTTTGTGTCTGCCTTTGTTCACAGAGCAAATGTTCTGGAGGTTCACCCATGTTGTAGGATATATGAGTACTTATTCTGTTTTATGGCTGAATAATATTCTGTTACGTTTGGGTTGTTTCTACCTTTTGAATATTAGAAGTAAAGCTGCTGTGAACATTCATATACAGGTTCCTGTATGAACATGTGTTTTCATTTTTTGTGGGTATGTGCCTAGGAGTGGCATTGCTGGGTCATACGGTAACTCTGTGTTTGACTTTTTGGAGAATGCCAGGTTGCTTTCTGCAGCAACTGCACCATTTTACATTCCTACCAGCGTGTCGGAGGGCCCCATTTTTTCTACATTCTTGCCAACCCTTATTATTTTCTGTCTTTTTTATTCTAGTCATCCTGTGAATATAGAGGGTATCTCATTGTGCTAGTTCACAATTTTTTGATGTCTGTATGATCTATACTGAATTTAAAAATTTTGTTTCTCTCATGTATGTTGTAAGAATTGGGAAAAAATTAAAAGACCAACAGAATCAGCATGTACCTCAATGTCTTAGTCTTGACTTACCTTGAAAAGTATTTTGATCTAGTTTATTAACACTATTCTTTATTTCTGATTATTCCAGAGACAGCAGTTGGGGACGGCTGTAGAATTGGAAATGGCCAAGATGCTTGAGGAAAATACAAATATCCTTAAGTTTGGATATAGATTTACACAGCAGGGACCCCGAACCAGGGCAGCTAATGCTATAACGAAAAATAATGACTTAGGTAAGACAAACAATATCAAATTGAATTTCTGAATTGTGCCATTAAGCTAATGTATTGAGGAAGCTTTTTTTACTTTTAAAGTAAATTTTAACAGAGAGATTACTTGGCCTGTGTTTCTAAACTCTGCATGGTCTTTTTTATACTGAATGGATCAGAGTTCAGTTTAAGTGAGGTTGTAGTGATTATTGGGTTGGTTAGTGGGTATTAAAATCTGTTTCCTATGACAATCATATTTCACAGCTTTAAGTGAACCGTTTTCTACAACAATCATTCATACTTCCTATAACATACTTCCTATGTTGCAAACTACATCTACAATAAAAAATACACCAATTGTCTCTCTCAAAGAGCAAGAGGTGAAAATCTCCTATGGGAAACTACAGTCATCAAACACCAGAAAGGGTCTGAACTGATACTTTTCACATGGTCTGGATTAAAGGAATAAAGCATTTTTCCTGCTCTAGGAACCTTTAAAGAATTTTTATTCTCAGCTATAAGTCACCCCTTGGAGCTATTAAAAAAAAAAACTATTTCAATGTTACAGGGAAGTTTTTGTCCTTTTTATCAGAAATTCAATTATTTTATATGATAAAATATAGAACAATTATGGTTTGAATCCAAGTTTTATAGTCAGTGGTATGCCAGTGTTTGCTGTGCTTAACTGGCCTCCCTAACACAGCTGTTAGGGGCAGTTGGCCTTCTCGCTGCACACATCTACATCATGGTGTCCCATTCTTTCGTGATTCCTACTGAACTGTGGCTTTTGCTTGAAATACATTTTCTGGCCAAGGCTGAAGTAAAGAAAATGATGCTTATAATTTTGTTTCTACGTATTTCCAAAAATCAACTCTTCTTTTAAGTTTGGTGTTTGTCATTGAAATATTTTAAAAGATACATTTAGACAGGAATTGAAACTTCCTGCCTGGCCGATGTGGCTCAGTGGTTGAGCATCGACCCATGAACTAAGAGGTCCCCGGTTCGATACCCGGTCAGGGCACACATGCAGGAGGCAGCTGATCGATGTTTCTCTCATTGATGTTTCCATCTCCCTATCCCTCTCCCTTCCTCTCTCTAAATAAAAAACATTTTTCTTTTTTAAAAAAGAAACTTCCTAAAGGAAGTAACATTACAAAGTGATGCAGTCCTTTCAAGCTTCAACCACATTTGAATTTGTATTCTTTAAAGGTTCCTAGAGCAGGAAAAATACTTTATTCCTTTAATCCAGACCACATGAAAAGTATTAGTTCAGACCCTTTCTGGTGTTTGATGACTGTAGTTTCCCATAGGAGATTTTCACCTCTTACTCTTTAAGAGAGACAATTGGTGTATTTTTATTGTAGATGTAGTTTGCAACATCATGGTAATTGGTTTCTATATTTTCCTTCAAGTATTTAATTTTTGCTTTTTAGAATAGTGCTTCTCAAGTCTGACTAAACTTCACAGATAATTGGAGAGGTTCAAGAATATATAGATTATTGGCTCTAAAAAAGTTTTTACTTAGTAATTTAGTTATACTTTATTATAATTGACTATTTTCAAAGACTCCAAGCTTTTTGAGGGCAAGGGCCATGTCTGTCTGTTGAATCCACAACTCTCTTAAAACCATGCCTGACAATAGTAGGCACTTAATAAAGATTTATTAAGTGAATAAAGAAAGAGATAGAATTTGAACCCTGCTCAAAGTTACAGTTTTCTGGTAATTTAATAGCCATAAACAAGCCAAAGCCTCCTCTGAAACTACCTTAGCTGTCCCAGGATCCCACCAACGAATTTGTAGCCCAACCGTCTCTGTCACCTGCCTCCCAGCAGGAGGGCGACCCCAGCTGCCATCATGCAGGAGCGCAGCACGGTGAGAGCCCACGGCAGGGACACCAGCCTCTGCAGGGCCTCAGCAGCGGGGCTCTTCTGACGAGCCTGCTCGGGCAGGCGCTTTGCCCAGATTCCTATAAGAAAAGGAGTGAGCGAGGGGGGTTTCTGGCAGATGGAAGGTGAGGGAACAGATACAAACTACTTCTTAGGCTGCTTTATGTTGGCATGGAGCAGTTGGGTATGTCCCTGACCATGTGTGATAGAGGCCTTGCTAAAGCAGTGGTGTGACACGAAGCAGAGCTGAGAGGAAGCAGACAGCCTGCGCTGGTGGCTCTCCTAGACACCTCCCTCTCCCCCCCATGCTGTTCCGTTCTTATCTGAACTGGATTTGCAGACATGAAATCTAGACTAGGTTCTCAGGCATGAAATGAGAATAAGGACATGCCTGGAGGGGAACTGCATGGAGAAAAGCTCGGATTTGGGAGCAGGCGAGTTATTTATGTGCTGAGGACAGCCTGCAAATTTTGAGAACTGTCATAGCACGATGCTGCCCTCAGAATAAACTTTCCTAAGTACTTGCTGCTTGAAGCTAACAATGAAAAAGTGATGTTGGCAGATTCAGAGGGAGTGCAGGGAGAAGACACTAAGATTACATGGTACAGAACTTAGATTTCTTTGGATTTTATGTGGGAGGCATTTGTGAGCCATCATAGGCAACTGAATGCATGATTCAAATGACAGTTCCAAAAAAATTCTTGTTACTTTTCTAGTGATAGGGAGGGTATGAGGTTAATTAGGGCTTACTTACAGTCGACTGATCATGAAATGTTGAGAACTTATATTAGTGGAGTGGGTTTTGGAAAGAAATTGCCAAAGAATTGATAATGGGGCCAAATTTCTAAGCCTCTCACCTCGAGGCTGCACTGAGGAATTGCTGGAAGGTAGAAGTGAGAAAGTCGGAATGGCGCCCGGGCAGGCGCGGCTAAGCGGTTGAGCGTCGACCTAGGATCCAGGTGATCGAGGTTCGATTCCCGGTCAGGGCACATGCCCAGGTTGTGGGCTTGATCAATGACTCTCTCATCATTGATGTTTCTGTCTCTCTCTCTCCCTCTCTTTTCCTCTCTCTGAAATCAATAAAGATATATTTTTTAAAAAAAGAAAGTCGGAATGGCTCTTTGCCGGGTCTTCTGCTGTGTTGTGCTCCCAGTACCCTCAGCTGGATTTGTTTTCAGCCCTATACTTTCATATGTGCCTGTAGGTCAAGGTGGTAAGCCTGAAGACCATGTTTTCTTCCATGCATTCTGATCTGTAGTCTCCAGTGAGAGGTATCAAAGAATAAGAATTGAAACTTGTACAGAATCTCTTGGTCATGTAATTTTTCTTCACCTTGCAAATGGGCTGTATCAGATCTTTGCTGCCTGATTTTGATAACATCTTTCCCTCTCCCATTGTTTTCTTCATCTCAACTACTCATTGAAATAATCCTACCTACTTGCCATTTCTCCAGCTAAGAAGTGTCACAGCTGTAAGAGCAAAGAGGTCATGTGGTACACATGTAATATTTGATTGAACTTGGAGTCTCATATTCCTATCTTTACACCAGCTAACTACATAAATTTTTCCACTGTGTGTGTTTGTTCCACTCTGTCCTGTAGGTCTTGTTTATAACATGTTAATATGCATGTTCTAAAAAAAAATACATCTGAAATGGTCTGTCAGTAACATCCAAACCCTGCTGCAGTTCACAATTTTCTTGGAAATGTTCTACCTTAAATAATTATCTGGTTTGCCTCTCAGACACTTCTATATTTTTCAGAGATCTGTATACATGAAGTAAGTTTGTTTTTGAGGACTGAAGTCTCCACTTGGTTTTTTCCCCTTTAATATTTCAGTAAACACAAACATTTGCTTTATTGACATGGACTAAAATTAGTCAGGGGAGTACTTAATTATCTAAGTATAAAAATGTTCCTGGAAACTTCATACGTTAGTCCTTCTAGTTTTTATTTTCTAGCTAGCACCCAGCCAATGGCTGGACAAGCTTTTATGTGCATCACTTGAATGTCTGGTCTCATTTATTGAAGGCCAATAACAGAAGGCAGCAGTAAGGACAGGAGCCCTCTGTAGCCCGGGCAGGAGGCCGGGCGCACCTCGTGGCTTTTCATTCCTCCGTTAAAGTCAGTTCAAGCTGAACATGAGCAGTTACCTTCCTACTTGTCTCCATAAACAGAAGAGAGTATAAAATTAATAGATCATAAATCTAACTTAGAGGAACTTATAGGTAAGAGTACCAAAACCAATAATGCATAATGTAAGTCCTCTCCTTATAAAAGCTAAATTGGCTTTCCTCACCCAGCTGTGACCTTAGTCTAAGATTTTCATTACTTTGCATTTGTTGTTTTGTCAGAGCCCTGAGCCAGTTCATTTTGTGGGAGAAAAGAGAAGGAAAATTTGGAGAGCAGTAGCAAGTCACTTTTAAAAATGAATGACAAAACTGTTTTAAATAAATTGTAGTGCCTGATGAGAAGAGCATGCAAATACTTTTAATGCTTTCTACTCCCAGTTGCGAGAGTTTCATTTCAAAATTTAACACAGTAAATTTGTTAATCATTTTTAATGGAAGTATAGACTTTTTTTAATAAACAGATGGGACAGACACAATGGACTTGAAGGTGGTTGCTGACCATTCTGTTTTAGATTTCTAACAGTGGCTGTGTGAGCACAGGTGAGCTTAGGACATGTAGTTCTCATTTTGAAGCCCCTCAATTCTCAGCAGATAAGTGACAAGGAAAAAGGATGTGAATTTTTTAATGGACATGTGAATTAAAAACAGACATTCTATGTTTGTACACAATAGCTAGATTTACAGAAACTTGTTTGTAACAAGCAAATTAAGTTTGTGCAAAAGAACAGGGATTCTAACATACTTACTTTATTTTTCTCATAGTTCGCAAGAGACGAGTTGAAGGAGACCACCAGTAAGTCCGCCGTGGTATAACCTTTGGAGGGCTTCGAAAGGGCATCAAGGACTTGTGTTGGTGATATCAGATATAAAATTTTCCTGGGTAGAAGGGAAAAGACTGGAAATCTTTTTTTTTGTAACTACATATATATTTTTTCTAGTTTAAGTTACCAGCTTTAAATTGTAAAATCAATAGTAGGTGATATTTTATATTTTAAAGCATTATTTCTAACTTTCTGCTAAACTGTTTTAATTTAGCTTAATTGAGTGGTTTATGATGGGTCTTGGTTAAAAAAAAATACAATTATAAGAAAGTTTAGGAAGTCACTTATGTAGAATAATATGAACATTTTAAGGACCAATCTCTTTTTTAAATAAAAAAGGGATGTTGCTGATACCAGACTTGCTGTTGCACCTTGTGGGTACAAGGCACTTCAAAGCTTTTGTTATTCCAGGATGTGAAGTTTCTCATGTTTTAGAATACGTGGCAAGAATTTAGCAAGAGTGTGCTTTTGCTTCTGTCAAGAAAGCACGATGCCAGAATTTTAAAACAGGTGACTTAAGATCTAATCATCTGTTTAGAAGTAAAAGCTGGTTTCTAGGAGAGAGAACATGCATTCCAGGTCACTGCACTAGTCTGATGTATCTTAGTAACACCTACCTAAACCTTTAAGAGTATAGTGATGTCTAAGCTCATTACAGTTTTTCATTTTAATAATGTGGACATGATTAAATTTTTGTGAAAGCCCATAGTAAAAAGCACCTGAGTAGGAAAGGTATTTCCTGTAAAAGGCATATAGCCAACTCCTGGTTATATAGGGTAAAAGAAAGAAAGCTGCTGTTTACAGTAAACGTGAAGGTGAAGTCTGAGGAGCATGCAAAATGGTCATTTAAACTGATGGTCACTGTGAAGCAAATTAGAAACTGGCATGCGTGTAAGTCAGTGTTGCACAGTGTAGTGAGGAGTCCCTGTGTGCCATGCAGAATTCCAGAAATGGTATTTAATCATCACTCACTACAAATTTTCCAACCAGTAAGGAAAACTGTCCTTCATAAATCTGATTTTAGTTTCCTTTCATCTTGTACTTTTTTGTCCATACTGTATAAAACTAATTTCTCATAACAAAAGTTGTCTTCCTGTTACTCAGAGTATCAGAGTGAACAGTTGAACAGTGTCCTGTAGTGGGAAGAATGACTCCAGACCGCCAGTGTGACAGAGGGTTTGGACCTGTAACCTTGCCCGTTTCAGGGCAGCCTCTGCAGCCCGAGATGGCGGAGTCTTCACAGCTGCAAAAGCAGGGTCAAAGGAATCTGAGCAACCCTGGCCTCGGAAATTCAGGCCCGGCTGCACCATTTACAGGGAGATTTTCCTAAGGGAAGAATCTCATTTCAGAGTAGCAGAGAGGTCTGTTGTTAATTTAAAAAATTTTTTTTTGGTCTGCTCCTTCGGGTTAGGGTGGACAGTTTATCCAATGAGCTAGGCAGCTTCTTATGTACTATGGTAATAAGCCTCTTAACAGAGTGTGTTTGTTTCTTTGCATTAGTATCCAGTGTTTTAAAAGGGCTGAAGATTGACTTTGCACTATTTCCTTTCACTTATAGGCTGCTGATTTTTTTTTAAGTTAGGAAGTGCCGCTCTCCTTTTCATATACATCTTTGGAAATGTACTTGATTTTAGAGACCGCACTGTTGCAGCAGGGTGGGGGCCGGCGTGGAGCAGGGATGTGAGGCTACCGTTACACTGTCAGCAAGGCGGCCTTGCTAGCACTGTCCTGTAAGTCAGTACATTGATTAGTATGTTACCCCTTCCATGAGTTTTTTTAGTTTGTTTTTTTTTTAACATAGGTAGGCGAGCTCTTGCCTAAAATTGTATGTCATACTTATGGATAATATCTTTAGTATGAAGAAGTTGAGTGTTTTGCTTGTACCATTCCAGTTCTCAGCTACAATAGTTCATTATATAATTGAGGAAAAAATTTCTTCATAAATAACTTTAAAGGTAAACATTCATCTGATTGAATATGGAAAAATCTTTCAAGAATTGTAATTACAGGGGAGAAAACTGATGTTTACTTTGATCTTTAAAAACCTGGCACCCCTTAACCTTTTAGTAACTTTTGGAATTTCTACATTGCTCTAAAATTTTGTAATAGGTTAGGGTTGATTTTTAAACCAAAGATGTTATGAGACCTTAAGTTTTGTAGTCTGGCTGATTTAAACTTATCTGGTTATCTAATCAAAAAACATTCTTTGCATTTTTAAATTGCTGTTTTTTAAAAGCTTTAACTTCCCATTTTATAAAATTTTATATTTATATTTGTCCAAAATTTTTCTAGTATGTCTACATGAAATTGTATTTTAAAAAGATTACTAACGTTGATATTATTAAAATGGATTTTGGTGCTATATACTTGTAGCTAGTAGAAGTCTAAAGTGTAGGAGAAATACATTTTCTAAGGGTGCCTGTCATTTAAAAGACCAAATAAACATTTTATGTTTTAAAAATTAGCAATTGTTAGAGATTTCAAGGAGAATTATCTTGATCGTTAAATTGCAAATTTGTGTTATTTTAATGAAGTAACCCACATACTTTATGCATAGGTACACTCTGGAAAAGTTACATGTAAATAGAACTTTGTAAATTGTTTTTCCATTGACAGTAACTGATGTATTTTCATTTAAAAGGGGAATTCCATGGTATTAATGATTATAAAAGAAAAAGTATGTTTTGATAAAATGTTAGTCATGTTCTATTATACATTATATTTAACCCTTGCTGCCATTAAAATAAGATGAAAAGATTCATGAGGTGTCATAAAATCTTATATTTTTGGCCCTGTGTTTCCAGGGCTGCCTCATGTACTCCTTATAAAATCAGGAACCACCATTACCTCCACGCAGATCTGAGGAGCGTGCTTTTTCTGGAGCCCCTAGCAGCTTCTGTTCTCTGCAAGCTCAGTACTGTTCCACTTGGCTCCTTCTTTCGATGCCACTTCACGTTTAAAAAATAATTATTCCCGTTTCATTGAGATATAATTGACATACAACATTGTGTTAGTTTAAGTTATACAACATAACGATTTAGCATATGAATACAGTAAAACATGATCACAGTAAGTTTAGTTAACATCCATCACCTCCCACAGTTAAAAAAATACTTATTCCTTGTGACGGGAACTTTTAATATCTACTCTCAGCAACTTTCATATGTACAATACAGTATTGTTAACTGTAGTCACGTGCTGTCCCTTACCTCCCAGGACTTAGTCATATAACTGGAAGTCTGTACTGTTGACCACCTCGCCCACTTTCTTCATCCCCACCCCTGCCTCTGACAACCACCAGTCTGTTTCTGTGAGTTCAGTTTTTTCCATTCTCACGCAGGTGAGATCATGCAGTATCTGTCTCTGTGTCTGGCTTACTTTACTTAGCATAATTCCCTGAAGGCCACTTCACTTTTGAGTAGTATTAACCGAAGACCTGGCATCCATGAAACTGAACACGGGATGTGCCAGAGCAGCTCCCGCTGCTGCCCTCAGACTAGGGCCCTTTTTAGATTTGTCTGCTTAAGAAGTATTTAAAAAAAAAATGGCACATAAACATATGCTTGCACACACACATTGCATAAAAATCTGTGTAATTTCAAATAAATGCCCACTTTATATTTTTTAGTCTTTTGGATGAATCATATTTTGTTTTAGTTATGTTTAAAAGCTTGAAAACTACCTTGTTACAATGTATCATTCTTTGTCACATCAAATAAGTATTTAAATACATTTTTAATGCTAAAATATCCAAAATGCTGTAGATGTTTTATTTTTTCAATTTTTATAAATACAAATGTGTTAAATTTTATAATGCTGATGTCTAAATATTACAAAACATCATCAACCTGGTTTCTAATCGCACAGTGAAGTGTCTTTTGAAGAACATGTACTATAAGCATTTAGGATTTACCACTTTTTACTGGAAGAAATTTCAATAAAGTTTATCAAATACCCTGTAGCCTTTGACTTTTAAAAAAATCCCTTTAATTTGGATGTTCTAAAAAGTTCATTTCTTGCACACCTCTTCAACAAGCTTATTAATTTCCCTGAATTATTCTGTCCCACTCTGTTAAATTAAATATAAAATTGTCCATACCTGAACATTTTTACCCACAAAAATAGAATTTCATATGGTTTAATCTAATGCCATCCATAAAATTGAGCTGACAAATGTGAAGAAACAGGGCCCTGTGAACAGGGCATCCTGGGCCTGACTGGGAGCCAGTCCTGCTAATAAAGCAGAGGTTATCTTTACAATAAAGCAAAGGCATCTCTTATCAGTCACCTATGTCCACCAACCAAAAGAGAAAGCCAGTGAAACATGTAATGGGTTTGAGAAGACTTTCAGGGATAAGTTTCAATTTAATTTAAAATTTTCATAGTTCAGAAACTTAGGGGAATCAAGAAATTCCCCGTGAATCTTTACAAATGGCTGGCCTGAGGATGGCTGTTGGGTTACGTTCACTTACAGGAAGCCTTGATGCATCCCCTTTGGCAAGTTGGAGGCCCAGGCTCTTGAGTTGTCAGGGAACTACAGCTCCTGTGAGTCCAGTGGACATGGTGCCAGGGACTGTGGCCATGGGGAGACAGTGCCCTCGTGCTCAGCCCAGCAGCACCCTGCTCTTGCAGGTACCAAATAACAGAAGTGGCCAACCACATGTGGGCCCAAAATCTCCAAACATCTTTCTTTCAGATGGTAAGCCTTCCTGCAGGTCTGCAAAGGTTGAGGGCCTCGAGATCCCAGCCTGACTCCCCCACCCCTGTCTGTCTGCAGACATAGCAGAGCCTCATGGGCCATCCCCTATAAAGAATAGCTGACCCGAGTGACCTCAGTGTCACAGAAAGAGAAGACTCCATTGTTTCTCCCCTTAGATTTACAACAAGTCAGACAGTTGTAACTTGACAAAGGCCCTGCTCAACACACAAGCGCCTGAAAGACCCACACATTGGGACATGTGAAGGTGGGCATATTGGAATGAGTGGGGATGGGGGAAGGACAGGGACAGTGGCTGCAGGCACAGTGAAGTGTCCACTGCAGCTCCATGAGCACTGCAGCAGTGGAGAAGTTGGGCTGCAGCCCTCACGCTATTGCCTGGAGCGGAAGGGGCAGAAGCAGTTTCCCTCCGGGAAAGGGCATCTCTCTCCCCTCCTCCCCATTGCAGCTGAGCTGGGTAGGAAACGTGCCAACAGCCATTACTGGGAGGGTGCAGGGAGCCGGGAGATCGCCAACTTGCCTTTCCTGCCCCACACTCTGGTGGTGAAAGTGGGTGAGTTTTCACAGCGGTGCCAGCAGCCATTGCAGGCAGGGTGGTGGAGCCAGGAGATGGGGAACCTGCCCTCCCTTCCCCACACAGCCCGGCAGAGCTTGGGAAAGCTGAGATGCCCAAGCAGCACATCGAGAAGAGTACCCTGTTTAGCCCGCTGAACTGCCGAGAGCCAACAGTGAAGACTTGCTACTAAAGTGTGCAGGCGGAGAGTCCATCAAAGACCATGAACAACCAAGGCAACGGGAGCAAAGTCTGCAGAAACCAAACTCAGAAGTCATCGAAGATGGTGACTTAAATGAGAGAATTCAAGACAGGAAGATACTCAGTGATACACACAAGGGGACAGAAAGGCAGTTCAGTGAAGCTCAGGAATAAAATTAACAAAGTACTTTACCAAAGAGCCTAAAACTATAACGAAGAACCAAATACATTCTGGAGCATAAAGATCTGTCCCGTATGTTCACTGGAGCATTACTCACAATGACCAATACATGGGAGCAACCTAAGTGGTGACTCGATAAAGGCGTGGTACGTACAACGGGTACTGCTCAGCCGGCATGGAGGTGAGTCACTGCCATTTGTGGCAACGTGGATGGATCTGGAGGGTTTCGTGCTAAGCAAAATAAGTCAGAAAAGGACAAGAGCCGTATGATTTCACTCATATGGAACATAAAATGCAACAAAGGAACAGAACAAACAAAAACAAGCTCATAGATACAACTGTACAGTGGTCACCAGAGGGGCGGGGAGGGGGCGGGGTGAGGAGGGTAAAGGGGGTCAAATACGTGGTGACAGAAGGAGGCTAGTCTTTGGGAGCTGAGCGCACAATGTAGTATACAGATGTATTAGAAAGAGTATACCTGAAACTTATATGTTATTGTAAATCTATGTCAGCCCAATAAATTTAATTTTTAAAATTTGGGGGAAGAAAAAAAGAACAGCTGACCTCACAGTTGTGCTCGTGCCTCTCAGTGTTCTCGTTGAGTCTCTAACTTGCCTTGAGGAGCTAGCGCTCATTATGGATGTGTTTACTGTACAACCATGAGATTAGGCTTTAAAAGTATAAAAGGGAGAGAAATAAGTGAATCCAGGTTTTCCACATGAGTTAATGGGCCATTTTTCTTCGACCATTTCTGTTTAACAAAATTATTTTTTTTAAAGTATATATTGATTTCAGGGAGGGGGAGGGAGAGATAGAAACATCAATGATGAGAGTCATTGATCTGCTGCCTCCTGCCGCCCCCTACTGGGGATGGAGCCCACAACCTGGGCAGGTGCCCTGACCGGGAATCGAACCTCGATCTCCTGGATCATAGTTCGATGCTCAACCGCTGAGCCACGCTGGGCCGGGCATTAACAAAACATTTTAAAAAACATCTCATTAGTATTCAGTTCTCAAAAGGTAGAGAAATATAAACATTAAGTCATGAACTAGTTAACATAGTCAAATCTAAATGCCACTGATTTAAGGAAACTGACCTCAGAGAAGTAACTTGCCCAAGATATTACCAAAGGTTTGTTCATTCAGTCATTACTCATTAGGTACCTATTACTTTCCAGCTACTGCACCAGTCACAAAGTTAGAAGTTAAATCTAGTGTTTTGTTTCCCAGTGCTCTTTTCTTTAAACATACGGTGGCTGTTTATCTCAAGTAGGTATTTAGGGTGTCTTTCTCCATTAGATCACCAATGTACCTGCTCGGTCTCGTGGTTCTGCATAGAAGATCCTGACTCTTTGTCTCAAATATGCTGATTTTTCTTTACTTGGGAAGAAAAAAGCTTTGAACAGCAGTCTCAAGTTCTTTATACCTCGGCTTCCCCATCTGTAAAATGGGAATAACAGCCCCTGCCCTTCAAGTTGTTCTGAGGATTAGAATTGGTAAGGCCCGTATAGCATCTGGCAAAGCACCCAGTGTCCAGTGAGCCCCCCATACTATACCTGCTCTTTAAAGGTCACAGGAGGATGTGGTCAATGGAGTTAGTGCCATGCCAACAGAGATGACAGCACAGGAGGAGCCTGGACCCAGCCAAGTGGATCAAGACATCCCAGAGGAGGCGATACTGGAGCTAAACCCAAGCTCACCTTTGGGCCCCACCAGGGGACAGGTGAGGCAGAAGGGCAGGAGGGCACAAAAACCTAAGATCAGAGCAAACAGTTACGGAATGGATTTTCTAGTCACAAACTTGTTTCTTAACATTTTTTAAAACTATGTTTTTATTAATTTCAGAGAGAGAGAGATAGAAACATCAATAATGAGAGACATTGATTAGCTGCCTCCTGCACGACCCCTACTGGGGATCGAGCCCTCAACCCGGGCATGCGCCCTGACTGGGAATCCAACCTCAACCTCCTGGTCAATGCTCAACCACTAGGCCACACTGGCCGGGCACTTCTGAACATTTTTATTCACAACTGGGGTTATGCAAAAACAACTCAATTCATTGCTTAAAACAAGGCATTTCATTATTGTTTTAAAACAAACTTGAAAACAATACAGGCAGTGAGTGCACGTTTTATGAGTCTGTCATCCGCTTTCTCTTCACCTCCTGCTTTCCTGTTTCTGGAGGGACCACCTCCTGAAAAATATGATGAGAGGTAAAATTCAATATCAAACATTTCCTGGAAATTTTGTTGAAAGTAGTTCGGAGCTGACAGAGGAGCACCAGCCTTCACATTAGAACCTGACCCCCCTCAGGCGCCACCTGTGTACAGAGACTGTCTCTAGCAGGTCAGGGACGGAAACCCGCGTGTCCCCTGGAGGCGGTCAGGGCGCAGAAACTTCCTTCCCGCTCTGCTGGGTAGGGTCTCTACCGTATTATACTTGAGACACATTCCTCTGCTTCCTTAGAAGTTCACTCTCTCTAAAATTCAGTATTTTAAAGCTTACTGATTTTTTTTAAGGACTGCTGGTGTTTTATGTGCATTTAAAGTTTTAAATATATATTTTTATATGAATGAGTGAAAATGCTTCCCGTATATAAGTGACCAACGTTCAATTGAACATTTCTGTCACTGCGATGTTTACTCCTATCTTTATCTCTAGAACCAAGAATGTAGCATGTTAAGTGTTCAGAACACATGGAATCAATATGGCTCATGGGCAGTAACGTAGTGATTCACTTGTATAGTTGAGACTTAAAATGTTTTTCCACTTGGGATCTTATATATGGAAAAGGAAATAAAGGAAAAATATTTTAACATGGAAATGAAATAACCCTCTACTACCATTATACCCAAGACACCCAGTTACCACGATGAACATGGTAGACACCTACCTAGCTCGCCCACACTGAACTATTCCCAGTTCTCCAGACAAGAGTTGGTGTCCAAGGGCCCTGAGCCTTTCTTCCAGGTCTTTCCATCTCACTGAGAAGCAAGTGTGTGGGCACATGTTGTGCTCCTGAGCTGTGAGCCCCTCTCTAGAAGCTGGATCCTGGATACGGGGTAGACCATTTAGAATTGAATAAATGTGCTTTTACCTCATCACTGCTGAGTGGCTTTGGTCTCGGTGATCCTTGAGACTTGACTTCTTCTGATCCTTCATCGCTGTCTGACAGATAGATTCTGGCCTGTTCCTCTGAAAGCAAAGGAACTACAGACATGAGACTGACCCTCCACGATACGACCCACTGATTGCTGAATTTTTCTCTGCTGAATACTGTTACTTCCCACTGTACGTTTTCCCTTGAGGAGCCAACATTTTTTTTTATAGTTTTGATGAGAAGATATATACAGAGATGGACAAAAGTGGGTAAGAACTCTGTGCCAAAGCGTGCTGGAGCATAGCAAGTAGACTACAGGATGTGTAACTAAAGGCCGGCAGTCTGAGCTCTCACGGGCTGGACCTGCGGGCGCTGTGCCACTGACAAAGCTGCTGTAATAACCATAACCCACAGATCTTCCTCCATACGGACACCTGTAAACATACTTTCACTCAGCCCTGTATGACTCTCAGACATGCTGAAATAACTGAGATTTGGGAGGTTTTGTTCTCAGAGAGATTGTCTGATCACTCTTAAATACCCAAGAGGCTTTAAGCACATATTTTTTTAAACTGCCAAGTTTAAATATTGGGCCCTTAATTACACAAGCAGGCAAACTGCCTGTTTCATACTTTTCTCCATAGGACAGAATTATTTGATTTTCTTTATTTTGCTTTAGTTTCCCAGCTTAGCTTTTCTGTGGGAAAGTGGTCCTAACCAAAGCAAAATAAAGTAATAAAACAAAATACCTTTGTACTGTTACAGTAACAGCAGGTAGGGTAATAAGCCCACCAGAGCAGCAGGTGCTGTGGCTCGGAGGTGAGACGTTACCGCCACACCCACTCACCTCCAAGTTCCCCTTGGTACCGGTTTTTACCCCTCACCTTCCTCCTCCTCGCTGTCGCTACTGGACACCGGGTAGGGGACACTCGGCCCCTGCCGGTTCCGCTTCTCCCGAAGACAGATTGTCCCCTGGCGAGTAGAAGCCCTCAAACGTTGTTCTTCTTTCTGTAGAGAAGCAAATAAACCACTGAACTTAAAAAAAAAAAGATCTAGTTTAGTGCCCCCTTGAAACTATTTTTACTGTAAAGAACATGTAATGCCTGGCCCAGGGTAACACTTATTTCCTGCCTTCAGAGTCCAGGTCTCGCCCAGCCACACCTGCTGCCACACACAGTGATCGCCTTGCTTAGTTCTAAGGTGTGAAGGCCACACAAGGGGGAAGAGGCAGAAGGCCCCTCACACTCACCATCTGATCAGAACTGGCACAGGCACAGCCTTGGCAGCCACAACGTCCCCTGTGCTGCCAGGCAGAGCCCAGAGCAGCGACCAGCCTGAGCAATGCCATTCATGCCCCGTGGACGCCTGAGGGAGGCTGCTGCTGTTCACCTGAGACAGACACCTGACTCGCCCAGGCTGCACCAAACCTCCACAGTGCCCAGGTATTCCTGTCTGGGCCCCTCCGCTCCTGACGACAGGATGGGAAGGTGCAGGTAGGGCAGGGTCCCTGAGCCCCAAAGTAGAGCCTTCATCCCCTCCCACCGGCCCGGCATTCCGCGTGTTGGGGTTCGCAAGGCAGGGCTGGTGTCAGATGAGTCAGGAATGTCCTTTTGACCTTCCTATACCACTTCTTATCTGGCTAACACAATTTTGTGATATCTGCCAAAGGCTACATTTTTTTAAAAATTCTCAGTTTTTGTCTCAAATCTCACAGGTTGGAGAGAGAGCACCTGAGTGTGGTTTGCTCTGTCTCACCCATGGCGACTGGCATTACTATGGTTAACCACACGTGTAGGAGGTTAAGCTGGCTCCCTGATAACCACAGGAGGTACATTGGCTGTGGCAATAAAAAATGATAAATCAATATTCTAGGAAGCACAGCTCTTAATACCCCAAAATCCCAGGATAAAACTTAGCCAACATACCTTGATCTTCTCCGAGCGCTGGCATTCAGGATCACGACCAGCTATGGGTAAGATCCTAATCTTCTGTGTCCTTGAGCATCTGTCAGCAAGTGGCAGGGTCATCTTTTTATGTGTGGCATAGTCTGTAGAGTGAGGTCTGCAGGAAATGAACAAAAATGTCTGCTTACTAGAACATTAGGGGCAGTCACGGCACAAATAGCAGTGGGCCGTGACCACCTCCCCCTGAGCAGAGCAGGAGGTGGGGCCACGGGTCCTCCGGCTTCTGAACCCCTCATTCTCTGGCTCCCCAGGAAGTTCCTCCCTCCGCCTGCCCCTTGGGGAGCACGATGGGGTGAAGTAGGAGTGGAATGGAAAGAGGAGGGGCCTGTGGCAGGTCAGGGCTTTTACAAAGAAAACCCCGACTGCAATCATAGGGGAGAAGGGATGTGAAACCTCAGTTCCGAGAGGGAGGCGCCAAGGCTGGGAGGCACAACTTAAGAACTAAAGAGGAGTCCCTCCATCTGAAAGAAATTGAAGGAAGGTTCAAAGCAAGGAGGCAGGTCACAGTGGCGCAGGGGCTGATGACAGCTCGGGACCATATGGGGCAGGAGGCCCTGGTGCAGACGGCGCTGCGTTCCCGACTAGAGGAAGGCAGGTTTTAAGTACATCAGAGAGGAGAAAGGACAGTCCTCAGGAGAGAGCCCCTGAAGGAGGCCACGGCTGTGAGAAGGGACGTGCGGGAGAAACTGTGCCGGACAGTGAACACCGTCCCAGTGCGGAGTGTGCGGCGCAGTGAAAGCAGCACGTGTAGAACCCTTGTCTTTTAGGGTGCGACTCCAGAGGAGACCATTAGGAGGCTGGATATGAGCAACATCTAGTGTGCCAGGTCTCTACACTACATGATTTTTTATGTATTATTTGACTTAACTGATACCACATCCCTGTGTGGCAGATATTTCCATTTTACAGATAAGGAAACTAAAAATTTGTGAGATTGAGACAACTCCTCAAGCTTACACAGTCAGACGTGAAGCACAACCTCAGAGCCACGCTTTACAGTCTTTAAAACAGCACAAAATAAACTGACGAACAAAATAGGTCCCGAGGCATGGATGCCTGGAACAGACTGACAGATCTCAGAGGAGGGGGGTGGGAGGGTGGAAAGAGATTAACTAAAGAACTTATATGCATACAGGCATAACCCATGGACACAGACATTAGTGCGGTGAAGGCCTGGGGTAGAGTAGGGGCTGGGAGGAGGGGGGCAAAGGGGGGACATCTGTAATACTGTCAACAATTAAAAAAAAATTTTTTTTTAAATTTAAATCCAGAGCAACAGATGCATTGAGTATAACTTAAATACCATAAAATTCACCCATTTTGATATATGATTAAACAATTTTTTAATTTTCAAAGTTGTGCAGCTACTACTGCAGTCTGATTTTAGAACTTTTCCATGTCCCCCTAAGAAAAGCCTGTGCACCATTACATTCTTTAAAGTGTCCACTTCTCACCCTGTCCAGTTTTGCTCAGTGGTTAGAGCATCAGCCCACGGACTGAAGGGTCCTGGGNGTCAGCCCACGGGACTGAAGGGTCCTGGGTTCGATTCTGGCCAAGGCCACGTACCTCCTTGGGGCCGAAGCACAGACATGCACAGCACTGAGCCTGTCCCACCATCTAGCTCTTCCCTTCCCCCCACTGCACCCTCACACCAACATTCTCATGACCTGTTAGTGTCCCAGGTAAATTTCAGTAAAGGGAAAGGACACTCTGACCAGCAGAGCAGCACAGACAGGTCTTCCAGGCCTCTTCCGAGGTGCATTGATCAAGGTGGATTAATACACCAGTCTTCTGGTTCATACAGATGTCTCCTGGTGGTCTGAGAGCATGAGCTGGCTCCCTGAGAAACTGCAACTTACAGCAAAGGTGAAAAATATCACGGGAACCAGACCATGGTCCTTGGTGAACTGCACCTCAAAATTAAGTCATCAGGGCTGAGTAGGGCTTTTTGCATAACCTCTCTCCCTTGTTGCTCTTTAACTGCAAATAACATCACATCAGTGTGAACAGTTACCTGAAGGTGAGCTTGGATTTAAAGATGGCTTGTCCCTGCAGACCAGTGTCCTCTCTAACAAACAGGTGGCTGTGGTTGCCCTGCAGGGGGGCTTTGTAGACATCAAACACTTCGCTGCCTAAATGCAGGGACATGCTGCAAATGAGAGACCAGCCAGCTGTTAGGGTGGCTGGTTAACCAGTCCTCCAGCTTCCATTCCACCCTGTCAGCTTCACTGAAAATGCTGTGAACCGAGGGCCCTGCCCTCATCCTGATCCCTAAGAACAGATACTGTAAATAACTAACCTGTCTCCTTCCAAAGCAAGAGGGGGTAAAATCCATCCTGCCAACTTGAAACAGAGTTGTTCTGCCATTTCCCCAGCCTCTAACACTCCATTAGAACAGTTTTTCAGAACACATCAATGTACAATGTCTAATAGCTCACACGTGGGAGCTAACATTAGGCCTCGCCTCAATAGGCGGACACCATGAATTTACTCACATCTGGGTCCATTCCTAAAGTCTCCCTGCAGCGCAGCACTGTGACCGCAGCCCTATTGGTTTCTCTCCACTTTTGCAGGAAATGCCAAAGGCCTGGCATTTGCTCATGGTTTAATGAATAATGACGCCAAAATAAGGTCCCACACAGACTTCGCACTCCTCCCAGGCCTCCCTCTGGGTGTTTCAGTACTCCTCAGGCATCATGCGCACCTTCCATCTGACCACTTCACCATCCGAGCGTTGCTTTCTTTAACTTCCTTTCCTTCTTTGTCCCGGCGTGCCCTCCACCGTATAGTATTTTCTACCTGGCTCAAAACACACAGGCATTAGACACCCGGTGTGATGAACTGCGTGTTCTTTTTCCCTCAAGTGATTTATAGTCATGTGCCAAAAATTCATAGGTAGTGACAGAATAGGCTTACACAAAACAGCAGATTGTACCCTGGTGGGTTTGGCTCAGTGGTTAGAGTGCTGGCCTGTGGACTGACCGATACCGGTTCGATTCCGGCCAAGGGCGCGTACCTCGGTTGCAGGCTCCATCCCCGCCCCGGTCAGGGTGGGTAAGTGCAGGAGGCAACCAGTTGATGTCTCTCTCTCACATCTGTTTCTCTCAATCTCTCCCTTCTATTCTCTCTGAAAAGCAATGGAAAAAACACCCTCTGATGAAGATTTTAAAAAAAAGTTGATTGGGCCACACTGCAACCCCCTTGCTACAAATACCTAGAGCTATTGGTTAAATTAACCAGACCTTTTGTTTAAATCTTTTCTCTGCCCCAGCTCATAGCAGTGGAAGCAAAAGCCAAATACTACGCAGGATGGAGTTGTTATCAGCACATCCAGAGCTCCAAGGGAGGGGGGATGAGGCTTTGGGTCCACCTGAGGTGGGCACTTAAAACCGAGACTTCCGCCTACTGCAGGGCCACCCGAAGGGCTTTGAACCCAATGGAAGGACTAAAAAAGTCCCCATTCACCGAGTAAGACAAAGCTCTGGGCATCCCATTAAATAACATTTTTAAAGAATAAACCATTAAGTAATTAACAAATTAAAACTTGAGACTTGTGTTTTGCCCTGTTTTTTAGTCCCTGTTTACCCTACCCACATGGTGGGAAACTCCAAGTCACAACAGTAGCATAAAAGTGGATCCTGCTCACAGCCACCACTGGCGCCCCTGGAGAAGTGCATGGGGCTCCCGTGAGGGCAAGGGGAGTGCTTGGCCATCCCAGGCCTTCCCCAGAAGAACTGCCTATGACGAGGGCTCTCTTTACGCACAATCTGAATTTCCATAAAGGGCCTGATATAGTCTTATTGTGGGAGTTGCCAGGATCTACCCACTATGAATGTGCAGGCAGTTCCATGGCCCTTGCTACATATCATTTATCCTGAAGGAAGTAGCCAACAATTTTCAAGAATTTTTGTCTTTACTTCTGTCAAAAAATTACAACTGCAAATAAAAGGTTAGAAAAGTGACAACTCTACAGGGATTTTAAAAAGATGATTTACCTTCTACCCTAAAAATATTCTGACAAGGCATTTAATTCCCTGTTCTACACTGTTATTTGTTGATTGAACAGTAAACATAAAAGATCATTTCATACGCTCGAGTTTCAAGTTGTTATCCCTGCATTTTACTTTATAAAAAGGAAAAACTTAAAACAAACAAACAAAAGGATTAAAATGAACTGGTACCTTTAATTTTAACCTGGTTCTATCTTCTTCATCAAGCACTTTCTCATCTGCAAATTCATCTTCATAGTACTGAGGATCAAAAGGTCTAAAAATTGTTTTTTAATGTCATATTAGCCATATTTAGTAATGAATATGATAAATACTACAAATTATAANCTGGTTCTATCTTCCTCATCAAGCACTTTCTCATCTGCAAATTCATCTTCATAGTACTGAGGATCAAAAGGTCTAAAAATTGTTTTTTAATGTCATATTAGCCATATTTAGTAATGAATATGATAAATACTACAAATTATAACCTTTATAACATGCACCAAAATGTTTTTTAAAAATCACAGTAGGCAAATCACTTCATGTAAAAACTTCAAGGAAATATGAACATTACTGTACTTTCTTAAAATTTGACTTTAAAACATATTACATGAAATAAAATCCAAATGTGACTAATAATTCAGTCTTCTTCATTTGAGAAAATACGTCTTCTAAATACAGGTGACACAGGATCCACCTTTTCATGTGTTTAAAGAAAAGTGTCACGTTTAATTGTTGGGCACCCGTGCACCTCTGTGGATAACACCAGTCAACACTATTTTGTTGTCCAAGATCACTATCTTTTCTAGCTTCACAATGGCTTTCGTACTGGACATTTGCGATTTCTCTAGAAAACTTCCTCACTTTCATTTTCTCAATTTTAAGCTTTACACTAATGAGAAACACCACCAGCTGTGATGTCTGTTTGTTTATAAGAAAAGTGCCAAAACGCTAGAATTATTAGCATTGAAACTCTCTCACACCAGTAATCCACAGAATCATTTCTCTACCACAGAACACGAGAGTTTTTTCAGTTACATGAGAATCTCCCATCTTTGTGATTAGCCAACTCACGATAAAGAAGAAGAAAAAATTTACATTCTACATATTTTTATTCAATATCTTGAGAAAAAGAAAACTTGAATCAGTTCTCTTACTTGGGTTCTATGCTGAGAAATTTGGGTAGCTTCACAAAGTACAATTCATTTCCTAAATCAGATCTGAAATTGGGAGTTTCTATTTCTATTCTGGCATCAGAAAGCGGCTCCTCCTCCCGCTGGGCCCGAGGCAGTCCACGTGCACCCTGGAGAAGAGTCAGAATGTGAGAGCTCGAGCGACGCTGGAAATGCTCCAGCCCTTCTCTCACACTGGGCAGATGCAGGTTTGGCCGGAAGTACACTTAGACCCCAGTTTAGGGATAAATAAGTCAGCAACCCCTCCAGGCCTTTCCCTAAAATTTCACACACCCCAAAAAACACAAGAGTTGGTAGCCTGCATTTCCAGAAAAAAGAAGTCTATTTTGCTGGTCTACCAAGTTTGCATAAGACATTTAACAACAGAAGTGTGAAATGGTGCAACCCCTCAAGGCTAAGTAACTATTAAATCAAAGAATATCAAGTAGCACAAACTTCTTGGCACTAGTTTGACCAACTTTTAAATCAAAAGTTTTTAAATGTTGAGTCCTCACAGACACACAGTGTAGCCCCTAAAGTCTGACATCAACCTCATTCTAAGCGGCTCCTTCTTTGCCGCATAACATCCAGAAATTCTCCGCAGAGCTAAGGGTCACCCATTCATCAGATGTTTCAGATGCTGCTCAGCTATCCATGCGCCTTCTCCACAGGAGAGCGTGAGACCATCAGCCTCTGGAAATGTTTTCTTAGCTTTGAACAGGGGGACCAGTTGAGATTAGTGGTCATACTCACAACAGGCTGTCCTGGGATAGGCAGTGGACTGTCCTCATCACTCTCTGAAGAAATGTCATCTATGTCTCCAAACAGATCCATGGTTCCACTAGAGCCATGTGTTGGGGGAGAATGCACAGTATTCATTTACCTGAAAAGTTTTTCACATACTTCTTAGCCTATCACTTCAACATATTCCCAAGGTTCGTAAACCAAATCTCGAAAAACCTAACCTCAAACCGACTCCCTGAGCTTGGACCTCAGAAGCCGGAGAGTGTCCTTGGAGAAGGAAGGTGACACATTTGATTGGTGGAAGGCAGCATTGCTGTAATGGACAGCTTTCAGGGTGGTTCCCAATTCCCGCCCTTGTGTGGTCCCCTCCAACATTGTGCCCTGGTTGGTCTGTGTGATCAATAGAATACAACCTCACTTCTGAGGCTAGGCCGTGAACTTGTGGCTTTTATTTTTCTTTTTTTAATTTTTTGTTGTTGTTGTTAATCCTTACCCAAGAATATTTTTTCCCGTTGATTTTNCTTTTTCTTTTTTTAATTTTTTGTTGTTGTTGTTGTTAATCCTTACCCAAGAATATTTTTTCCCGTTGATTTTTAGAGTGGAAGGGGATGGGGTGGGGGGTGGAGAGAGAGATGGAGAGAGAGAAACATCCATGTGAGGGAGACACATGGATTGGTTGCCTNATGGAGAGAGAGAGAGATGGAGAGAGAGAAACATCCATGTGAGGGAGACACATGGATTGGTTGCCTCCTGCACACGCCCTGACAGGGGCCGGGGATCAAACCTGCAACTCAGGTATGTGCCCTTGACAGGGAATTGAACCCGTGATCCTTTGGTGTGTGGGCCAACGTTCTAACCATGAGCTACACCAGCGAGGGTAAACTCATGGCTTTTCTGCCTCGCTCTTTCTCTCTTGGGTCACTTGCTCTAGAGAAAGCCAGCTGCCATGACGTAAAGGCATTCAAACTGCTATGGAGAGGCTATGGTGAGAAACTGAGGCCTCCTGCCAAAAAAGAGGCAGGTGAGCTATCTTGGAAACAGATCCTTCAGCCCCAGGCAAGCCGTTGCCTCAGCATTATCTAAGGTCTTGATTGCAGACCCTGAGCCAGCACCACCCTGCTGAGCCATCTCTAACCCCCAGAAACTGTGAGGTATGTTAAATGCTTGTTTTCAACTGTCCCTCTCAGGGGATGTAGTTTGAGGTGAGGCGCGGTGTGTAGGTCACATGAGATGTGTAACCCAACAATTCTATCTCCCTCAGCCTTTGGATTCCCTCTGTGTCATTCCAGGGAAGCTTTGACATCTCAGCTTCACTAAAGGGAAGTAACCACTGAGTTTGTTTTAATCAACCAAACCAAGTACAGAGCCATGTTCTGTTATACGTGTGCCAACACGGCAAATTCACAATATACAAGTGCACCCAGACCAGTAAGCTTGGCTCAAACTAGTATTATAGTCTGTCCTTCATCTCACATTCTTAGAATCCACTTCCACACATATTCTCCAGGCTTCTACCTGTATCTATTAGCAAAATCTTGTAATTTTTTTGTACAAGCTATTTCTTCTAGTCAATTTGTACTTTCATTGCCAGAGTGTGATGAAATCCTAGTGATGGGTCTACTGGTAACAAGTGGGTCAGACAGCACTGTTGGATGAGTCTTGAGAATGGAAACTGCCCCTGGTGATGTTATTACAGCGTTTTCAAACAGGAAAATACTAGTTTCCTGAGGCACAGGGAGGCAAGCTGCTTCTCACAGGCAGGGAGGCTCAGAATGACCAGGAAATTTGGAGTTTTCAGCTTCATCTGAGTCCAGATTTCCCCATTCCTAGTTTCTTTCTCAATCAAATGCCCTTCCTACAAAAGACTTGAATAGGCTGTGAATTCAACTGGCCTGGTAATTCCGCAACCACACGATTAAATGCTGTTTGATTTTCAGCTACCTTAGCCCTCTGACTGTAAATATGAGATTCCTTTTGGGCAGTCACCAAAGCTCACGGGTTCTCTGACCATGACTTCAGCTGAACATTTAGAAGAACTAAGCTGGTGCCCGGCAGGAGTGGCTCAGTTGGTTGGGCATCGTCCTGCGCACAGCAAGGTTGCCTATTCTATTCCCAGCCAGGGCACGTACATGGGTTTCGGGTTTGATCCCCGGTTGGGGCATGTAAGCAACCGATCAATGTTTCTCTCTCTCTTCCTCTCTTTAAGCATTCCCTCGGGTAAGAATTAAAAAGTAATAATAAAAAAATTTTACAAAGACCTACACTTGTGATTTTGTTTCTGTAAGTGCTCTGGGGCCCTTAGAAGTACCCGTCCCACCCTGGCTGGTGTGGCTCAGTTGGCTGAGCACCAACCATCCCATGCACAGAGAGGCTGCTGGTGCAGTTCCCAGTCAGGGCACATGCCCAGGTTGTGGGCTCCATCCCCAGTGGGGAGCATGCAGGAGGCAGCCGATCAGTGTTTCTCTCTCATCTGGGTGTTTCTCATATGGATGTTTCTCCCTCTCTAAGCATGTCCTCAGGAGAGGATTTTAAAAAATTAAAAATAAAAAGGCCTAAGCTTGTGATTTTGTTCCTGTAAGTGCTCAGGGGCACTTGGAAGTACCCACTCCATACAGCAGTCCTTATCGTCATCACTGCCAACAAGGGTGGCAGCCACCTGAGCCCTCAGCCAAGGGGGTGATCTGACAACCAGCACCCTGCTTCCCCTCTGTGAGGAGCCCATACCTGCGCTCCAACCCAAACCAATCTCCAAATCTCATCTTTGAGGATTTGTTTCCTCAGGTCGGAAAACATACCAGTTGTCCATACAGATGGATTTTAATAAAAAAAATTACAATTAGGTTTAAAGTTGTTAATTAAGTTACAAAAAGTATAAAAAGATAAGTCTAAGGGAGTGCAGAAGTAGCAAATTCAGAGAGCAACTTCCATCCGTCAGGATGAGGGAACAGAGGTGAAGTTATTAACTTATAGAAAGGGCGCCCTGGAACTGCAAATTTACCTCAGGAAGTGTCCAGCTGCTACTGACGTCTCTCAGGGGAGCACAGCAAAGCTGTTTCTCTGAGTGTTGGCAAAGCTGCAAACCAGACTGAGCTGCTGAGGGAAGAAGTGTTGGCTCCTCAGGGAACTGCCAGGCAACAGGAAGCCCCCAGAAAGTACCATAAACAAACAGGAAGAAGCAATCCTCTCTCCTATCCAGGCTTCCAGGCTCTCTGTAGCGCCCCCTAGCGGGGCTGCTGGCCAAGCCGAACCGTGATTGGCCCCAGTATCGCTAAGCTTGGCAGAAAAGGGTGGGTTTGGAGAGAAGAGGCAAGAGCTTAATAACTGACACCCAAGTGCCTACTAATTTAAAAAAAATAAAAGGGAAGAAAGAAAATACGAAAACTATGTTCTATGTTGTCGTCTAGAGCAAAGGCAGTCAGTGCCTCAGTTCACAAAACAATCAGAAATATGAGACACCCATAAGAAAAGTTGTCCCCTAACAGTGGGGTGTCAAGAACAGGGCAGGAGGGAGACTGGTCTACTTTGGAATTGTTCAATAAAGGTAGTCAGCAATTCTAAATAACATCAATGATAAAATGTTCTTTCCCGAAACAAAATTTAGTTGCTCTAATTTTACACTTGCTGCAATTACAGTTGAATGTTGTTTTAATTATATGTGTTATTCAAATTAGCACATGTGACTTATCTTCAAATAAAAATTATATATACATCAAAGTTACTTTGGGGAACTCTGATGATACAATCAATCTCCCAACACCCGGAGACTCAGTCATGTGTGTTTGTTTAGAGTAGTTTTGCAACAGTTCAGAATGATTCAAGCTCATTTTGGGTGCAGCTCATATTTTCCACTCATGAAGGACTATGCATTTCCACGTTTAAACAGTAAGTAGCACAATGATGAAGGTGAAGAAATAGAACTTTCACTTATTTCAATTCTGCTATCTATGTGATTAGTTTTTAAGTGTGTTTAAATTATAGAGATATTTGAAAACTGCTAGAATTAATCCAGAGGGAGGGGAGAGTTGAAATTTCTGGAATTTATTGTAAAATGAGATTTTATGAATCTGTCAACATATCCTTATGTGTAACGACTTCCTAAGAATGAGTATCTGATGCTTTATGAGAATTTTTTGAAATTAAGTGTTCTTTGATAAACAAAGTGAAAATTTACAAATCTACCTATACTGAAAATGAATATGCATTTAAAAATTCAATTGTCACAAACTCATTCACAAATCTGTAAAAGTTAAGTCTTGAAACAGAAACTAATTTTCTTATTCACACTGTAACAGGCTATTGTGTAGGTGTTTTTCCCCATTAAAAAATCATTCTTATAATTAAACAACATTAAAGCATTAATCCTTTTCCTTAAAAAATATAAAACGATGTTGCCTTGGAAGGGAGAGTCAGAATGAAGGCTCTTAAAAGCACAAGAGGAGTTTCAACTTGATAAGCCAAAAAACAGCAAAGGGACTGAAGGTTTCCGAGTTAGGAGAGTGACACAATAGTGATTCGGAACTCCTTCTCGGTCGCTTTTCTTTCTCTGTAACCAGATAGGCTTCCCACAGCCACTACACCCAGATTGTACTAACAGCACTAGGAAAGAAGTAGGGTACAGTCCACTCACAAGGGAAAGACTAGTGTATGTGGGAGAGCACCAAAGACAAATAAGTGTGGAGGGTGGATTTAAAACATACCTGCGAATTCTTTGCTATTCCTACCGTTAATAGGTGCCCAACTTCCCACCCTTTGAATATGGGTTCGCATCATTGACTCACTCCTAATGAACAGAATGTGGTGGATTTCAACAGAAGGTGGTGACCTGTGATGCTAGTCATAAAAGAAAATACCAAGAAAAGGTAATACAGCTTTCGCCTGGCTCACTCCCTGAGGTACTCACCTTTGGGACTCAGCCAATGTGTGGTGAGCAGGGCCAGGACCAGGATGTGACAAGTGAGATACTCACCTTGGGTGAGAAATGGAAGGGATGCCAAAGTCTCAGTGACCAAGAAAATAATATTGCATATTTCTTAAACTCCATGCAAAACAAACAAACAAAAAAAAGAGAATTTTAAAGAGACAATCTAACCAGCAATTCTCACTTGCCTTACTCTAATACCAGCCATCACATCCCG